GAGGATTTAGTTATTAGGTGCTTCTTCAACATGTGGCACAAATTTATGAATGGACTGACTGGACTGTTAAGGCCCAACTGACAATGTTTTCTGATTTGAGGCTATTCTATATTGCATCGGTATCTACTTTGGACCACATTAACCTTCTATTTTGCCTCACCTCTGAGTTAATTATAACCCACCTATCAGCCATGTTATATGATCTTAAGTCTGAATGGCCTGAGAATTTCACACTCACTGGCTGATGATCGCTTTCTCCTCATGGATGGACAGTGGCCTCTGAAAAGAGGTCACCTTTACTTTTTGATACATATATGAGATCTGACACACTGCTTGAATAGCCTGAGTGGAAGGTATATGGTTATATCCAGTTATTATCCTTGCCTCCCAGAATCTGAAGGTTACATTTAAAAATCAGTAATATCAAGTATAGATATTTAGTATTACTTTTATTATCTCTTGAAAACCAGTGTGGATGATTATCAAAAAATTCATTTGGAAGTCCGCTATGTTGAATGAAATCATGAAGAGATTGGCCTAGTTTAGCATTAAAATCACCAAGTAAACTAATTATGGCTTGGGTATGGCAAAGTAATTATTTCTTCCAATATTGTTTCTAAATGTATCCAATAGTCAGAATTCTAATAAGAGGATGTATTTGGGGGAATATAAACATTTACCAGCGTAAGCTCAAAATCTTTATATCTGAATTTCATAGCCAGTATATGAGGCAGATTATCCTCATTATATAATTTCTCACCCTGCCATTGCAATTCTTCCTTAGTAAGAATGCATAAGCCCCCTGATGGTTGCCCTTTATTCTTTAATTTTTGAGCAGGGGGATACCAGCACTGAAAACCAGGGAGTTGTACAGGGTCATCCTCTTCTCCTAACCAGGTTTCTTGTAAAGCTATTACAGGTAGTCCTTGACTTATGACAGCAACTGGGACTGGAATTTCCATCGCTAAATAATGTGGTTGTGAAGTGTGACTGCATCATTTAGCGATTGTAATCCCTGCAGTCCCGGTTGCTGTCATTAACTGAATCCCACAGTTGTTAGGCGAGGCAGTTTCCTGCCAGCTTCCCAGAACCAGGTTAGTGAGGAAGCCAGCAGGAAGTTGCAAGTCCCAGGCAGCTTGCAAACAGGCCGGCAGACAGCTAAGTGGCTGCTGTCGGGTTGGGGAGGGCGCGAGGGGTGTGCGAGGGTATGAGAGGCGTGGTGAGGCTTGGGGAGGGTGCATGGGGGTGCAAGGGAGTGCGAGGGAGGCATGGCAAGGTTCGGAGAGGGTGTGCGAGGCTATGAGGGAGGCACGGCAAGGCTCAAGGAGGTTGCACAAGTGTGTGTGGGGCTGCACAAGGGTGCAAAGGAGGTGCAGCGAGGTCCAGCAGTTACTGCTAGCGACAATAAAACTCAGTCCATCCCTCTCATTTTCTGATTGCTGGCCTTGAGGGCAAATAAGACCAGATTGAGAGCTGATA